GGTGGATTCAGGCTGGATTAATCAGATACCTAAATTACAGATTCAATTTCTAAATTTAAATCTTATTATTATACGCCATTTAGTGGCTGCGCCCATCTTAAATATTGAGGTTGTATAGTGCACTGTATTCTTCTTGTCAAGCCCTTTTATTTGATACCCATATTGGTGGGATTGATAAAAAATTGTTATCAGCCATTTGGTAGCGGCGGCCATCTTAGATTTCAATTTTGCATAGTAAATTGTATTCTACTTGTTGAGACCTTTCATTTGATACCATGTTGATGGGATTGATAAAACCTACGTTATCCGCCATTTTGTAGCGGCCGCCATCTTGGATTTCAATTTTTTATAGTATATTGTATTCTGCTTGTTGAGCCCTTTCATTTGATACCCATATTGATGGGATTAATAAAAAAAACATAAATTATCCGCCATTTTGTAGCGGCGGCCATCTTGAATTTATAATGATAATGAATAAACATAATTGTATTGTCACCAAAATCCAAAGTGTATACAAAATTTCAGATTAATCGGTTGACAGGAAGAGGGTGAAATTTGAATTACTAAATTTGACCCAAGAATAAAACAAACGGGGTGAGCTAAATAAAACCGTTTAAAAAAAAGGATCGCCATTTTGGATCCGCCATTTTGAACTTTGAAAGACTGACTTCAGATTCCTAATTAGCAACCCCAGGAACCCCTTGGACAATGCATTAATCGTTCAGTATCAACGTTTTAATTTTACTAGTGTCTTTTCGAGAGCATATTTTCGGGAACTAGACCCATTCTAGTTGTCCAAGACAGGTGTGTAATAAAGGGAAAGTTCCCCAATAATACCAGAGTAATTATATGCAGGGATGCCGTTTGGATCTAAATAGATTCAATTGGATACATTTTTAGACGAATTTTTGCGGGATACATATTTTTTCCGGTCAGTATAAATGTGGATACTTTTTTAAATAGGCCAAAATATTATATTTCCTATAAAGTTTTTTTCGTTCAAAAATCGATTTTCATTAAAGATGGTAGAAAGCATTACGTTTTCTGAACGTATAAAGAATCGCTACTTAAGCGTGAAATTAAAACATTTTATTTTTTGTGAACGAAGCAATGAACATATGAAGAGATCTCACCAAAATAGGTATAAGCGCAATTGCTTTAATTACACTGGTCTACAAATTTCAACTTTTTTTCTGCGAATAAGACGGGACCTGGTGTTTCTGAACGGATTTTTCGTGCTGAACACGAATCCGGGGTCAAAAATGTCCCATCACGTATACTACAATATTCTTATATTGTTTAACTAAATGGATCATATGTATGTAATATATCAGCAAAAAGTACAGCCGTGATCATTTTTTGTGTATCAAATAGATATTAGAACACACTTTCCACCATACAGTTTCGACCATAAAAAGCGGGAAAATGTGATTTTGTATTCTTCGTATTGTGTATAATTCGAATAATCGATTTTTGCCTGAAAAACAAAATCGCGTTTAATTCGGCCGAAAAATTTTTCCGAGCTAAAAGAAAAAATACGTGTCTCATTATTTGGACCAACAAACAATGTATTTGAGTTTGGTCGAAATTAAAAATCATGCTCGTACCTGACCGGTTGTCTAGAAATGGAAAGCATCAAATAATTAGTTTGCTAGAAGNTAGTTTAAAAAACTAACTTTGATTTATTTAAGGAGACTTTTATGAATTTTACTGAAAAGACTTTAAATACACTTTAAAGTTTTTTTGTTTATTTGCGCATATTAAGACAGGTAACCAGTTTCCTCTTTTAATGTGTGCAAATTCGCAAGCCGTGTAATTAAATTAATCATTGCCTGTTTACTCTTACATACCAAATTTGTCGCAAGAGCAAAATTACACATAACATGTTTAAAATAAAGTAACGTTTATTATTAGTAGGAAATGAGTAGTCCACTTGCAAACAGCGTTATGTGATTTTATAATAGAAAGCCATAAATTTGAAAAAGCGACTACGACAACAAGTAACATATGAATTGAACCTTTTTTATTATTACCTGAAAATTTGGATAAATAGGAGCCTTATAAAATTGTAACATAACATAACATGTCATAAGATAACATTAACAGTCTATACGACCTAAAGCAGCTTTCTAAGTTCATCAGAAGATTGATACTTTTGAAAGTTCATAAATAAGTATGATAGCGACTTTTGGAAGAAGACTTAACATTTGATGCTATTTTTTCAGAATATAAAAAGATTTTGCACTCTGTTGTTAGTGGACATGAAACTACTTTAAATACTGGTACGTAATCCGCCAAAAAGTAAGAATCGAAAAAATTTTACATAGCGCACTTTGCAAGTAGACTACTCAAATGTATTTGTAGTTTGAAAATTTTTGCAATTTTAAACATTCTATATGTGTATTTATGTGTATATTTTAAAGATCTCAAGTTCAAAATCAAATACTGAACATCTTATACGTATATTTATACAGATTATTGTTGAAAAATAGATACTTTTCAGTAGTAGTTTTACATGCTCTTTTTAAAGTGTACTTGCTATTTATTATATTTACTTTGCAAAATACTTATGCACAAAAAATTTACTTTATAAATTGAAATTACAAATGTTTAATTTTATGCACATATATTCCAAGTCATGAAGATGGGTTAAATTATGTCTTTTTCATGAAAATGTTTGGTTTTCTTACAAATTATGAGATGTATATGTAAAAAAAGAAGTTTGGATACATTTGGATACATTTTTGGCTTGGTCAGGGATACATTTTCTTGAGACGGCGCGGCAACACTGATTATATGTAAAAACCACATTTTTAGCTGCATTTTAACATGCCAAGAAAATAAAAAAATTGAGAACATCAGCGTTTTTATAAAAAACCGACCAGCGCGACCTCTAAAAAAACTTTTTTTTTTAAATAAAAAAATATGTGTCTCTTTTTTATCACAAATAACAATGCTCTGATGTAGCGTTTATGAATTTGCAAAAATTGTGTTTTTATGAACCACTCTACATCCTTCATTGGCTGGCTTAAATTGGCGGTGTAAATTAAACAAAGAAAAACATGATTCTTATGCGATGGAATTTTCTTCAGAAAGTAACGGTAGAAAAGAATTTTTGGGTATTCATTCTGTTTTTCAGCTGAATACGGTGAAGCATTTTACTTTGCATTCCCCGTAATGAATCAAAGCAGCGAAATTAATAAATTAGTGTAGAACATTCTGCTATGCATTACCGGCAATGCCTAAAAGAACGAAAATATTAGAAGACACTTTAAGACAATACGTTCAAGAACACGTTACCACTAAAGCGATTAGCGGTTTTTTGCTTTGTTGGTGTTTTTGGTTCAGTGTATTGGTGTATTTGGAATCGATTGTAATAGAAATAGAAGAATTGTAATAGACGTGGAAGAATTGTAAAAGAGAATAGCAAATGCCTAAAAACTGGTGATCTCATCTGTAGGCATTTTTTTGGGTTTGTCGCTTCAAAGCTACACATCATCCGCTCGTTTACATTGCGATGTATCTTTTCGTTCAACCGTAGTAATTAATCTTTTTTTGGTAGAAAAAGGTAATGCCTTCTTATTTTCCCACTGGGTATGCATCCCAAGCATGCAGAGCGGTGACATCACACACATACATACTAGGGATGTTGCGAATGTGGAATTTTAGACATACGCGGATGCGAATGCGGATGTCAAATATTTTTAAGAAATAATTTTGGTGAGTACATTAGGTGATTTAGGTAAATAAAAAATGAAAAAGTTAGTAATTTTTAAGTGTTTTTTTTAAATAGTACTTAGATTAAAAAATTGGAACATTGTATTTAAGAAAGAGTAATTTTGCTGCCTTTTCCGGTTACAGCCTGTTTCCTAAAGGGTCGTAAATCAAACCTGTGCACTAAGTAACTACTCGCTCGAGGCGACAAACTTGAAAATTGACAAAATTGTAAATTGTTTTCGATTGACGCTGCACCAGTTGAGAGGACTTTCAGTTATATTTCTTTTTTTATTGCGGTGCAATAATTCCTTTTTGACAATTGCATCGGGGCTGCAAGTGTCGGATGTAACCTCCTGACTTTCATCTTCACAATCTAGCATCATGGCAAGATCGTTGTTTAAACACCGTTGTGTTCCAATTTGGAAAACCAATTATTTTGTTTGTTTCTGAATTTGGAGAACCTGTTACGTCATCAGCGTTTTTCGATTTTAGTTTTTGTAATTCATTTTTAATCCTGTCTTCTGTGACTGGTTTGGAAAATTTGTGCTTATAGCGACGTTGTGAATAGGTGGATATGGCAAATAAATTGTTATTTTCTAGGGATGAAAATTTCGAAGAAAATTCTGTTTTG